AAGTTAAACACATTTGGACAGTGAAGAAATGTCAGGATTCTTGCTTAGAAAAAGGAGCTGATCAACATGCTCTGAAGTCAGAGCTTGTTGATCAGATTGTAACAAAATATCGATTTCTGCTGTCCCTGTATCGATACATTATTAGCAAACAAATATCACAGTATCGATTTTTTCCCCCACCCCTAGTGCATATCTCCTCGGAGATTGGTAGAGCAGCAGTTAGTACTGTTTCTTTACAGCAAGATCAAACCTCCTGGTTGGCTGGAGCCTTCCTGTGTGGAGTGTGCATGTTCCAGGCTGTGTGAGGTCTCTCCAGGTTCTTTGACGTCCTCCTACTGTCCAAACACATGTATGTTTGGTTAACTGATGATTGGAATTTTGCCGTAGGTGAGGCTGCAAAGTGGATAAAGTGCTTAAGTGCAGTACCGTGATGTATGATTATGTGTGAAAAAGGTAAATGTGGCTTATAATGAAGAGCACTCTGAGTGGTCAAATAAGATTAGAAAAGTGCTAAACAATAAAAGCTGGTCCATTTCATGCTGCATCCATAATATGAATTAGCATGGCATTCGCCCAGTGCTCTGGTGGGATGAGTCAGACACGTTGACCCTGAGGGCACTGAGCTCTGCGTGTGTGGGGGAGAAAAAGGTTTTTCCAAATCTGTTTTTAGGCAGTAGCCAAACATTTTAATTGTTTAAATCAGATATGACTGAGGATATCTTTGAAAATATCTACTCAGATCATTATCAAGACTCAGCTCAGTGGCACAACTTGCTTTTAAGACTTTGTCTCCACTGTTGTTGTGCTGAAATTATGCTTGTGCAAGTTTTTCATGAGGTCATTGCAAGTTGCAGTAAGTCAGGTAAATTATAAGTCCAAAACACAAACGTCAGCTGGCTTGTGGTCTGTGTAGAGGTGGTCAGTCAGCAAATTCACTTCTTTTAATCGCATAGTGACCAAAGATTCTTTATATAATTTCCAGTAAATGTTTGTGTGAATCTACAGCTACACTTGCCTTTTTGAGACTTTAATTAAAGAAACCAAACTCTTAGACAGATAAACCAAAGCTAAAATGAAATGATTTTAATTCCAACACTTATACCAAAGTTGTATATGTATATGTGTGGCCTAAAACGTACTTACAGATGGGATAAATGGGATTTCTGTCAGATATAGATGTTTTGAGCTCATAGCCTCAGTATATTTTGTGCATTTAAAAACATCTCTGGATCACGGAGATTCCTGTCAAAGCAAAACTTGCCTTTGTCTTTTGGAGAGGGGTAAAGCTGCCCATCACTTTATTAATCACTGGGTTTGTGAGCCTTATATTCAATAGAAGATGATGAAGACATGCATTGGTGCTTGTGGGTGTTTATTTAAAGGGGACCTAATATCCTTTTTTCCTTATTTTTTGTAATGATGGTGGATGGTCAAATTAAACATGGTCAAAGTTTCAAATAATCACAAAAGCATTTGTGATTAGATTGTGCCAAACGCTCAGTTTGAGACAGATTTTTCTGTGTTTACTGACTTTAATACCCTCCTGCACTTATTTTATACCCAGAAGCACTACCATCATCTTTGTGCAGTCTATAGGTTAATTCCACATGATGTGTGTGTTTATAGTGTGTTAGGAAGGAGAAACAGTGAAACCATTATTTAGATTATTTTTAAACTTTCCACATATATTCTCCACTGTTTGATCTGCTCTCCCTTTTCTTTTCCCTCCAATTTAGATGCAAGTTTTTCAGTTTGACAGAGACTCCAGAGGACTATACCATCATCGTTGACGAGGAAGGATTTAAAGGTGGGCCTCGCTTTGTGGATACTAATCTTTGAAGTCACTGTGGCAACCAGAGATCAGGCGGCAGGAGAAGGTCGCATTGTGTAATCTATGATTCTCACCAGCACCGCGCGGCTTCGGCTGACACTGTTTGAGCACACTTTGTCATTATAGATGTGAGGCCAAGCTGCTGCTCGCTGTGTTGGCTGAGTGAGTGAATCCGTGTCATTACACACCCTTCTCCAGGGTGACCCTCCTTAGTTACCCTGGAGACTACAGGCTATTTGTTGCGTAACTGGTGCAGGTATTTTCTACTGGTGGCTGGCTCTGTGGGTTATTGTCTTTCTTATATTGAACTGAACTACATTGTGAAATTAAATCATACTGGAAACTCCCAAAAAGATGTATACTATATATCCGTATGCATGTTGATTATGGACAATTAGTCCATAATTAGCCCATGAGTGCACAACCCAGTTCAGTCCACATGTCTTGGGTAGATTATACTTTGTATGTTGTAAATTATATTTGGACATTGATGCAGTTTTGGTAACTTTGCCTCTTTTCACCGTCACAGTAGCTTTTAAATCAAACCACCAACATGTGGTTTAAGTCTAGACTTTCAGCTTTTATTTGAGGGGTTTAACAAAAGTATTACATAACAGTTTAAAAATTGCAGCCATTTTTATACACAGTCCCTCACAGTAATTGGACATTTCACTCATGGGAGTATCATTGCCAGGTGAGCCCTGTTCTCTTTTTTACTTGAATCGGAACTCACCTAGCAACTAAAAGTTATGCTTTATTAGCCTTATTTCCTTTGGGATTAATAAAGTATTTCTAAAAGGTTTATATTGATTCTGGGTTTAAAAAATAAAGCCAGCTCTTCTTTTTACCAGATGTGTTGCCCCCTAATGGCCATTAGAAAGAAGTCCAGCTCTATGACCGCTATGACTGCATTAAACAGTTTGTGTCGAGATAGTGGTAGTCTTAAGTTTTCTTTAACAACTATGAGCAGATTCAGAGTTAAATAGAGGATGGTTTAGTGCATTGACGTCTTATTTACACAGTCTGTGGTTCTTACCTGTGGGGTTCATTATTTTATCCCAGTCACTGGTGTAAACACAACCGTGGCTTCTCTGTGTTGAAGTCATTAGACAGCTAAAGGTACCAGTGACAGGATAATAATGATAAACGTTAAAGCTCAGAGTTATAATGGCTCAAGATAACAAAGAGAGTCATGAAGGCACAAATCTGACTCACGAATGACTCAGAAAGGGAAAAGCTGGTCTAATATTTAATGCTTTTGCTCTGTGACCTTACCTCAAAGCTGTTAAAAGTGTCATATTCCTAATCAGTCAGAAATAAAACTGTATTTATTATGCGAAAGTGAGTACATTACAGATCAAAAAAAGAAAGAAACGAGTGCAGATGAAAACTACTGATACCCAGCTTGTTTTCTTTTTATTCCAAAGCTGTTGTTGGTAAAGATTAAATCCATCCATCTGTGTTGCTGCCTCTATGAAACAATCTGTCTCAAATCTTAACCATTTAATTTTGTGACAGCCAAACAACTGTACCAGCTCCACTCCCAACTGTTTCTGATTTCATTTCCAGAGCTGCCCCAGTCGGAGCACATCAGCGTTGCCGACGCCACGTGGGTGGCCCTTAACGTGGTGTCAGGAGGTAGCAACACATCCACTTCACAACCCATAGGAGTCACCAAAATCGCTAAATCAGTCATCGCACCACTGGCCGACCACAACATTTCTGTTTTCATGCTGTCGACGTATCAGACGGACTTCATCCTGGTGAGTGTGAATATTGTTCATGTCAACGTTCTGTGTGTGAATGGTGTGGGTCTCGACAGCCATGTGATGCTCTCACAAAAATGACTCGACACACGGCTCGAGGGCTGGAGCCATCCCAGCTGACATCAACCAATACCATAGGATTAAAATATGGGTGTAGTCTCTGAGAAAGGTTGGCACAGAAGCCCCTTAAATATCCTTTCTAATAACCAGCAGGGGGCGTTTTGCACAACAATTTATGACCTCGAAACTAGTTTTGCACTATGGCTTCATGTAGAGTACAATAGACAATATGTTTTTGGGGTGAGGCTTCTCTCAGTTTCACAGTTAGATCTTCCCTTCATTCTTCCATACTATCTTTTGTCCTGTCTCCCTCCCCCTCACTCCCCACCAGAGATGGGCGTTACTTGTAACCCGTTACTTATACTGTAATCTGATTACTTTTTTTCAAGTAACGAGTAAAGTAAGGGATTACTATTGCAAAAACGGTAATTAGATTACCGTTACTTTCCCGTAGGAACGCTGCGTTACT